CCCCCGGGGCCCCCGCCGGCCACTCGACGACCAGGTCCCGGGGTCCTGCAGAGAGAGGCAGGCGCCGGGTGTCGGGCGGTGGGACGGCGCCACGGAGGTGGCCGAGGAGGGGGTCGAGGCCCGTCTGCGCGGCCGGACTCCGCGCGGGGCCGGGAAAGGGGCGCCGTCGTTAAGTGAAGGCTGGCCAGTAGCATCCCGGAGGTAAAGTGGGTTGTGCCCAACTTCCAGATCTGTGATGTGCACGCATGAAATGTGATCTTTTCAACAAAGTTAGTCCCTGTGATTGGTGTAAATTACGGGGTCGTCTGGTTTTCTGAGGATGATTTGAATGGATTCTGCTGTCATCCAGACAAGTTTATAAATAGGTGTGTGTGTTTTGGACACTGAGAGCCGTGTTTATAAGATCAGCACATTTGCCTGGTCGTTTTTCATAAATATAAATGTTTGGTGTCCTTGGACACCATAGCAGCAGGTTGTGACTTCTAGCCTATAGAATCCCTGAGTGGTCTGACGGGCCTTCAAAACCTCCCTTTCCCGACCTCCTTGCAAAAGCTACTGTTCACACTTTTCTTAAAACCTTTTAACTTTGTTCTCCTCTCAGTGTACACCCCTTAGGCCTGCTTGATCCCTGAGGGCTTGGTTTATGATACAGTCATGGAAAAATTATCTGCCTCCCAGTGTTCTGTTCCTTTGTGCATCATCTTGCAAATTCTTCTTTTTATTTTTTTTTATTAGAGGTTTTTGCCTTAGGGCACTTGTGCTCACCTGAGAAAGAGAGAGAGAGACAGAGAAAGTGAAAAGGAGAGTGAGAAATCACCCCCCAGGGAGGATGGCCAGCAGCAATCCCCGCTCCTCCATTTTCCTCCTGGGGCATGTTCTCCCACTCAGTCTGTAAGTTTCAAATCTTCGGGTCCTGGGCCTGAACCACGGTTGGCCATGTGGGAGTCCAGGTAGATAAGGACCACACCATCTGCTTGCCCTTCGTCTTCCAAGTTCTTAAGAGTAAGCATAATAGGGGTAGACAGATGGCATGGTGGTTAAGGGCACTGGACTCCCACCTTGCCAACTGAGGTTCAAGTCCCAGACCTGGTGGCTTGCTTTCTCACTTCCCCTCTCTTTCTCTCACTCTGTCTCTGGTCAAATTTACATAAATAAATAAATAAAGTTAAATAAGATAATTTATTAAAAAAAGAGTAAGCATAATAAATAGAAGATTCTCAAAGAATTGAATGATCCATTCAAATATCCATTCAATTATCAACCCATCCATCTGCCTTTCCATAATCACCAGTAGGCCTGTCTATTCTTGTCTTTTTTGCCTTTGTTCTCAGAACTTCATTAACTCAAGGATCAAATATTATGTAAATTCTGAAGTCAGGAGACCCTAGCCAAAAGCCATCTATCTAGCTTCAATTTGAAACTCACTAGTAACTGTAAAATATTTTCAATCAATTGCATCTGTTTCCTGCCATTAGCTATATCACTGTTTAATCTTGACCTCCTGTCCAAGTACTGTATTAATAATCAAAATGGAGACCAGAAAATGACATAATGGTTACATCACTGGACCTCCACTTAATCAACTGTGGTTCCAGTCCCAGACCCAGTGACTTAAAACATGTCAGCACCTGTGCGTGCATCCCCAAGATCCCTAGAGAAGAACAGAGGAGAAGGGATTGTGGCATGGCCATCCCCCAGGGAGTGATTTCTCGTTTCTGTCTCTCTGTCTCTCTCTGTCTTTCCAGTAAGCACATGGTGGTGTGGTGGTTAAGGGTGCTGGACTCCCATATGACTGACCACTGTTCAAGTCCTGGACCTGGCAACTTGCTTTCTCATTCTCTCTCCTCTCTCTCTCTCTCTCTCTGTCCCTCTCTGGTCAAATTTAAATTAATTAATTAATTAACTAAATTAAAGTAAAATGATTATTTTTTAAATTTCTCTTAAAAATAATAATAATCAAAATGTATTTATTGCCTTCACCTAAAAGGAAAAGTCACTTTATATACTTCGTGAAAATAAGATAAAATTATGGTAGGACTTATACAGAAGTCCTCTAGGTGCCTCTATGTGAGATGAAATAATGTTTGAAGGGCCAGCAGGTGGCGTGGTGGCTAAAGCTCTGGATCGCCACATCTAGTCCTGCACCCAGCAGCTGAAAAATCACACTGGGCACGTGTGCACACAAGCCCAAAATCCTGAGAGGGGAATAAAGGAGAAAGGACTGCCACATGGCTATCTCCCCTGGCTAGCTGATTTCTCACTCTTCCTCTCTGTCTCTCTCTCACAAGTGCACATACCCTGTGGCCAAAAATAATAATAATAATAGAAACAAAAATGAAAAACTTTTTAAAAAGCGTTAGAAAAAGGAATGAGTGAAAGCTGTTAATACAACTTGTATACAGAAAAAAAGTCTGCCTGTGAGGACTGGGGAAAGCCAAGTAGAAAAGACATCTGTAAAAGATGAAGAGAGTTTGAAGACCAAACATTCCAGACAGTGGTCTAGGTGGAGAATTAGAAACCCGAAAGTATTTGGGGACAAACCTGAGAGGGAATGCTGGAAAGGTAAATCGCA